TAAGTTTATAGCGAATTTTTAATTGAGGAATAAATTAGCGAGCAAAATCGTCTTATCATAACAACGTTTAATTTTATTAAGGCAACGAGGGTGATGATTTTGCCCATGGCAAATGTAATTACGATGGTGATGGTGATGAAGATGATGATGAAGGTGATGATGATAATGGTGGTGATGAAGATGATGATGATGGCGAAATAATAGTGGTGATGATAATGATGATGAGTATGCGAACGGTTATAACGATTTTTATAACGATAAGAAAGCAGTAATGATAATAATAATTACACCCACCATTACTACTGCTGCTACTCCAGCTATATCTACAACAACATCAACTACTACTACTACTGCTACTACTACTACAACTACTACTACTACATCTGCTACTACTACTACTACTTCTACTACTACTACAGCAACTACAACAACAACAACAACAACAACAACTACTACTACTACTACTACTACTACTACTACTACAGCTACTACTACTTCTACTACTTCTACTACTACTACAGCTACTACTACTACTACTACTACAGCTACAGCAACTACAACAACAACTACTACTACTACTACAGCAACTACAACAACAACTCCTACTATTACTACTACTACTAATAATAATAACAACAACACTTGGATGATTGCGAGATAATTCAGTTGGAAACGCTGGTGACGATGGTGACGATGGCGCTGATGATATGGAAGGCTTTGAAGGTGAGTTGTGAATTTTTTTATTAGATTACGATTGCGTTCAGATAGCCTGTTAATAGCACCGTTCCTCCCATTTTATTCTCTTTCTCTCTTTTTTATCTCTCTTTTTTTCGTCTCTCTCTCTTTCGTCTCTCTCTCTCTTTTTCTTTCTCTCTCTCTCTCTCTTTCTCTCTCTGTGTTCGTTTTTTTCTGTTTATCGCTGTTTTTGTCTGTTGTTTTGTTTGTCTGGCCGTTCTTTCTTCTTTCTTTTTTTTCTCTCTCTTTTTTTATCTTTCTCTCTTTTCCTCTTTCTCTTTTCTTCTCTCTCTCTCTCTCTTTTTCTTTATTTAACGTCAATCAGTTTCGTTATAATTAGTTAGATAAAATCATATTTCGCCCACACCCCAAAGCAGTTCACCAATTTTCTTGCAAAATCGCATTCTATAAATAACCTTTCTTGGAAGAAAAACAACAACAACCCCTTAAGACCTGGCTTAGATAAAGTGTCGTGAAGAGAAAGATGGTGATGATGAAAAAGAAAAAGAAGAAGATGATGATGGTGGTGATGATGATGGTGGTGACGGTGGTGATGATGATGTTGTTCGTTAAATGTTTCTATTGACATGTTTTTTGACAAAAATTTGCAGATTTTTTAGTTTAAACTTGTTGAAAGAGGATTGTTTCTGCTGCCAAGTTTGTTGTGTTGTTGCGTTTAAAGTTGTTGTGTTGTTGTTGTGTTGTTGTGTTGTTGTTGTTATTGTTGTTGTTATGTTTGCTGACATTCTCGGCAAAGAGAGGCCCCACGGGTACCATAAATATTGAATCAGCTATCTATGGCTCTATGTGTTCATAATGTTCGTGTTGTAGTTCGTTTGTTCGTTCGCTTGTTAGTTAGTTCGTTCGTTCGTTAGTTTTATGTTTGTAATTTCTTGAACTAATAACTATTATATGATGTTGTTGGTTGCTCCTTTGAAATTAAGACGAAATTGAAAATTAAGAAACAAATTTTATTGTTGTTTTTTGTTTTGTTTTATTCAAAAGTTTTTTAGATTTCTTTGGTTATATTCAAATTTACTTCATTTCTTTTTATTGGGAAATTCTTTCTTCTCGCTAATCTCCAGCTATTTATCTCGATGTATGTATCTTTGCTTGTTTTTTTTCTTTTTTGTTTTAAGTTTTTGAAAACTCCTCTCAGTTAGGTAATTTGTTTGTTCATTTGTTTGTTTGTACCTTTGTTCGTTCGTTCGTTTGTTCGTTCGTTCGTTCATCTGTTTGAACATTTGTTTGTTTTTTCCTTTGTTTGTTGTTGTTGATGTTGTTGAGGGTAAATATATTGTAAAAATTGTTTTTGGCTTAAGGTTATTCATTGTTATTTAATAATAATAATAATAATATTAATAATTTTATTATTATTATTATTATTAATTTTGTTTTGTTGTTGTTGTAATTTTTTCTGCCCTGTCAAATAAACTGAATTCTAGAACGCCAGC